TTTTTTTTTTTTATATATTTGTTGATAGAGACAGTGCAGCTATAAATATATGTTTCTGTCTCATGTTACCTCCCTATACACCCCAGCTGCAGCTCTCTGCTTATTATATTATATTTTTTTTAATATAATTATATTATAATAAATAAAATAAAATAAAATAAAATAAAATAAAAATAAAATAAAATATAATTGTATTATAGCACGTTGTTTATACTATTTTATATTATAAACTTTTTGTGTATTTATTGAGACGCAACGAATAGAAAATATAAAAAATATATAAATATAAACAAAATAAATAAATAAATAAATATTTTATTTATATTATTATAATAAATAAAAACCCTAAACCCTAAACACCGGACCCTAAACCCTAAACCCTAAACACCGGACCCTAAACCCCAAACCCTAAACCCTAAACCCTAAACCCTAAAATCAGTACAGACAAAAATAAATAAAAAACAAAAAAAAAGATTTCATTCATATATTATAAATAAATAAATAAATAAATAAATAAATAAATAAATATAATGCATGCAAATTATATAAAATAAAACAAGAGGGGAGGGGGGGGCGCCTGGGTATGCATGCAGCTGCCTATACAGCTGGCGTTGCGGTTTGTATTTTCTTTATATTAAAAACAACTAAAACCCCAAAACCCAAATAAAAAAAAATAAAAATAAAAATAATAAAATACAAAAAAAACAAAAGAAACACATACACCAACAGCACCAGCAGCCGCCGCCACCGCAGCAGCAGCAGCAGCAGCCACCGCCGCGCATCACCATCACCAGCAGCAGCAGCAGCAGCAGCAGCAGCAGCAACAGCAGCAACATGCATGCAAGTATGACCCATATTTCTGCATGTTTTTTTCTAACTAAGCTGAATAAAATAAAATAAAAAGGAAATAAATAAAATAGATAAAAATGGTAAATATCCCGAAAACAAGAAATACTTTTTGTAGGGGACCCAAATGTAAACGTCATACCCCACACAAAGTTTCACAATATAAAAAAGGTAAAGATTCACTCGTAGTACAGGGCAAACGCCGCTATGACGCCAAACAAAAAGGCTTCGGGGGACAAACTAAACCCATATTCAGAAAAAAAGCTAAAACTACTAAAAAAATTGTACTCAAACTCGTGAGCTGCTGCTGCTGCTGCTGCTGCTGCTGCTGCTGCTGCTGCTGCTGCTGCTGCTGGTGATGGTGCTGGTGATGGTGATGGTGATGGTGATGGTGATGCTGCTGCTGCTGCTGCTGCTGCTGCTGGTGCTGCTGCTGGTGATGGTGATGGTGCTGGTGATGGTGATGGTGGTGCTGCTGCTGCTGCTGCTGCTGGTGCTGCTGGTGATGGTGATGGTGCTGGTGATGGTGATGGTGGTGCTGCTGCTGCTGCTGCTGCTGCTGGTGATGGTGATGGTGCTGGTGATGGTGATGGTGG